TTACCACACTGAAATGTGTATGGCACAGACATGCTCTGGTATCTGGATCACTGTGCATAGCATTTCCCATGGATAGGAATACTGGAGCTTTCACTTGTCTTTCCATTTCTAATAATGGCATCTCTTTTTCAGAATAGACTTCACTGATTACTTAAGACTGAGTGATTCTGCCATGGCCTGGGAAAGCAGTAGAAAATGGCCCAGGTGCTTGCGTCCCTGCACCCGCATGAGAGACTGGGAAGAAGCACCTGGCTCCTGACTTCGGATCAGCGCAGCTCCAGCCATTGTGGCCATCTGGGGAGTGAACCAACTGAAGGAAGACTTTTTTCTCTGTCTCTCCCTCTCACTGTCTGTAATTCTACCTCTCAAATAAATAAATAAAATCTTAAAAAAAAAGGACTGAGTGAGCTGTCCACTCTGGGTTATTTACTACTGGAGCACTTGGCACATTGTACTGTGACTATCAATTTACATGTGTGTTACCCCACTATGCTTGAAAAAACCTAAGGAAACTCCAGGTCTCATTCACGTTCATAAAATTGTACTCACTACAGTGCCAGGTGTATAAAATTTCTTAGGAAATGCTGATGAAATGAAGGAAGATAGAAAGTAAATAAATAAATGATGGATAAGTAGAAGGATAACGGAGTAAAAAGGAAAAAGAGGTGTAGAAAAGGAAGGAAGACAGTAATACAGAGAAGGTGGGGAGCTGGTGCTATGGCATATTTGGTAAAGCCACTGCCTGCAGTGCTGCATCCCATATGGGCACCTGCTTGAGTCTCGGCTGCTCTACTTATGATCCAGCTCTCTGCTGTGGCCTGGGAAAGCAGTAGAAGATGGCCCAAGTCCTTGGGCCCCTGCACCTGTGTGGGAGACCCAGAGGTAGCTCCTGGATCCTGGCTTCAGATTGGCTTAGCTCTGGCCATTGCAGTCATTTGGGGGCAAACCAACAGATGGAAGACCTCTCTCTCTTTTTCTCTCTCATCTCTTTCTTTCCCTCTGTTTCTCTGTAACTCTGCCTTTCAATAAATAAATCTTTAATTTAAAAAAAAGAAGGAAGAAAAGATGAAGAAAAAGAAAGAAGGAAGGAAGGAAAGAAAGAAATAAAAAAAACACAAAAGGATGTAGGGAAGGTAGGTGGGGGAAAAATGAACTACAGCAAAATGTAGAATATTCAGGCTAAACTCCACAGTGACGTTTCTGGAGGAAGATGGAGACATCATTGATCCCCCAGTGACTGACCACCTCTCTGGGATTGTCAACATAAAGAGAGATCTGATGTTAAAGAAAGTAAGGACTACAAGGATCATAGAAACAACTGAGTTCTGCTTTATCTTAAAACTGATGAAACCAAGCCCAAGATAAGGGGTGTAGCTTCTCAGTGGAGGCAGTTAATATGGGTTAAGATGTGAAGCTGCGGGCCGGCACTGTGGTACAGCAGCTAAAGCCTCCACCTGTGATGCCGGCATCTCATATGGGCATCAGCCCGAGTCCAGGTGCTCCACTTCTGTTCTAGCTCCCTACTGATGTGCCTCAGAAAGCAGGGTACTTGGGCCCCTGCACCCATGTGGGATATCATGGGGAAGCTCCTGGTTCCTGGCTTTGGACCAGCCCAGCTCTGGTCATTGCCACCATTTGGGGGAGTGAACAAACAGATGGAAGATCTTCCTCTCTCTCTATCTCTCTGTGTGTGTAACTCTACTTTTCAAATAAATAAATAAATCTTTTTGAAAAGAAGTGAAACTGTCTTAAAAACTCAAAACTCAAGTTCTCTTCACCACACCAGTCTTTCCTGGAGACACAACTGATTCAACAATGATGAGAACAGGAGAGTGGCGTAGGGCCTTAGGTCACTGATTAAGGCTGTGCATACCACACTTCTGTGCATAACTTCTTTCTTCTCAATATTTTTTAAATATTTATTTATTTATTTATTCAAAGGTAGAGTTAAAGAGAGGCAGGCAGAGAGAGAGAGAGAGAGAGAGAGAGAGAGAAAAGTCTTCCATCTATTGGTTCAGTCCCCAAATGGCTGCAACAGCTGGAGCTGGGCCGATCCAAAGCTAAGAGTTTTATCTCAGTCTCCCACATGAGTGCAGGGACCCAAGCACTTGCACCATCTTCCATTGCTTTCCCAGGAGCATCAGCAGGCAGCTGTATTGGAAGTGGAGCAGCCAGGACTGGAACCAACACCTTTATGGGAATCTGGCACTGTAGGCATTGGCTTTACCCACTACACCACAGTGCCAGCCCCTCTTCTTATTTTTTGCAATTAATACAAACAACTTCACGTTTAGAGTCAGATATGCTATAGTGAGAGAAAAGAATATTTGAGCTCTTTTTGACTCTTGATTTGTATTACTCACATTAACTCTGACAATCCCTGAGTTTCTCTTCTCTTCTACTTCAGCCACATACACTCTTATACAGAAGTCCCCTGCTGCCATGCCTACCTTTTAAAAGCCTTTGTATCATGTCAAAGATTTGCTCAAATGACTTTTCTTCAGTGAAACCTACTTCAATGTTCCTAACAGAAAGTGATCGCACTGTCTTCTCTGTTCAAATATTACTTTGTTCATGTCTTTCTGAAAATCTGAATTGACATATCTAAATTATAGTGTTGTGTGTATCTCTTTTTTCCTCCATTCAATGTATACTTCTGAAAGGCATGGCCCATTATTTATCTCTCCTACTAAGATTAGCACGATATCTTCTATATGGTGTATCCATTATATATATTTATGTTTAAATGAACCATATATCCACTTTTTTACTCTCATACCTGTGTCATCCTGAACCATGAACAATCTACATATCCATTATGCCCTCTTATTTAGAATTTCCGGGGATATTCTTTTAACACTTTTGGTGTGTTGACTTGTGTTTAACAGTTGTTTAAATTGAGCTGTGAATATTAACCTATGGGAATAAATAAAGGAGGGAAAGAAATATGATTGAGTCAGTGAATATCAGAAACTTCAAATTGGTGGAAAATACAGTGGCGTATCATTGGCCAATTGGAGGAGAAGTTATTATATAGCCCTATTTTCTTAAAAATATTGACAAAGAAACATGTGGAGAAAGAAAGGATTTTTACTGGTTGTGGGGTTCTTTTAACATGGAGGCATCTCGGGGAATATTTATGGAAAATATTTTAAGTATGGGAAATAAGAAAGAAGCTAAGAAATATTAACTCTTGTCCAAAATTAGCTAAGATTTACTTGAAGTGAAAAAACTGGATTGCTCATTCCCTTCATTTTAACTAAATATGTTCTTGCACAAGCAGATGGCAAATTGGCTGGATGTACTGAAATGGAAGCAGGAAGACAGTTTAAATGCCTCGATTCCCAATCTCTCTCAGCAAGTCTTGACCCTTTCCAAAACAGTATTTCTTACCAAGTGACGTTAGCAATTCTGTCAGCTTAAGCAGAAAGACTTTCAAGTTGTTTCAGAAAATATTTTAACAATGCCTTCAGATAGAGTTTTGCACATTTTTAACATCTTTAGAAACATAATTTTAAGTATGCTCAAGTCAAACATATTTCTCAATTAATCACCTGCTACTAGTACTCTAGATAATGGCAAACTAATGATGCCAGAATATTTTATCTTCACTTTCCCCTGAATATTGTACAAAGGGCATTATTTTATTCACTGCTCATATGCATAGTCAGATAAAATGCATCAATGGACTCACTTTAAAGCAGAAATCCTTTACAGTACTTCAATTCTACCACAAATTTTAGAAATATAATTTTCTAAGGCTAAAGAAGTATTTTTAACTCCATCCATGAAATGTCATGCAGAAGTCAGAGAAAAATTAAAGGCAAGAAGAAAAATGAATGGCAAGAATACTACACAATGAAATAGAAAGATCATTACTTTCTTTTTCTACTTCTAACTTGAGAGTCTAATAAATAAAATTAGAAGAAAATTATGTAAGCTTGCTCTAAAGTATCTTTCCTAGACTTTATATAGGTGACATTACCACATATATTAGAGTAAATTGTTCCCTTTAGGAACATAAAAGAGCAAACTGTGTTGCTATGTAGTCTTTATTTAAGTTCCTTGTACACCGCTTCTTTTTCTTACCTGTGCTTTCTAAAGCCTCATTAATGAATAGCAGCTGATTCTGAAGATTTGCTTTTAAACTCAGTTCCTCCTCTCAGATTCCTATGATTTCAAGAAATGATTTTGAATTTCAAAATTACTTTCTTATGAGCTTCCCCAGTGATGAAAATAAATGTGAACCCACTCATTCATCTCTGAATGACCAGTAAGTTCTCAAGCGGAATTCATTTGTATCAAATGGTTTTTTTTTTTTTTTACATATAAACCTTTTATTTAAGGTATACAAACTACATGCATTTCATATATACAAATTTAGGAACATAGTGATTCTTTCCCCCTACCCTCCCTCCTGCCCTCACTTCCACCCTTATTCCTCCTCCCTCTCCTATTCCTATTTTATTTTTACAAAGATCTATTTTCAGTTTACTTTATAGTCATAAGATTAACCCTATTTCTTAAATCCATATCTGTCACTATACATCAGGATGCACTGGGAAGACACCACTCCCTTGGAATGTTTTCTTCTACTTGGGACCTATCTGTTGGGTGTATTTTATATGCCTTGAGCTTGATTGTTCAATGTCTTAAAGTTTTATCAGTCTTTAAGAAAACTTACCATACTACTCTCAATTACGTCATCAATATTAAAATAAAATATTGTTATTGTGAGAAAGGAAGTTCTTTGAATGTTGTTCAATGTGATATATACAGCAATGGAAGAGGCCATTCTGGAGTGTTCAGTGAAGTTATCCTTATTTGTAAAATGGGATAGCAATATGTACCTTACAGACACAGTCAATAGTAAGGCATTCCATGTTGCCTTTGTTATCTCTCAACCTAGGTGTGAAACATACTGAGTGTTAAGTATGGCAGTAGAGCTTAGAGGAATTTGGACTGACTAGGTTAGATAAAAGAAGTTGCTGGCTTCTTACCTCCAAGGAATCATCAGCATTCACCATCCAACAGTCTGTCCAGGTGGCCGCAATCAAAAACCCAGTGGAGAAAAAGGCCAAGAAGCAGGCAAGGTATTGAAGATGATCCCTCATGGTGGTTAGCAATCTGTTCTGAAGAGACATATGGACGGCAGCCAGCCCTGGATCCATTCAGGGAGCTTGAAGACTATCAGTTTTCTGTTTCTGATATCTGGGGATGTGGAAATGCAGGGTTCTTGCTTTTCTTCCCACCCCACTGTGGGCGTCTTGAATTGCAGTAAGAATAATACAAACAGGCTGTAACCGACAGAGTGGTCCTGGGGATCATTATCTGAAGCGTCTGGCCTCCAATCAGAAGCCAGGTCAGTGGAAGGACTGCATATGTTTTGGATGGGGGAGAAGGGGTGTGTGGAAGGTTTCTCACCCAGATCATGGAGTAGCAGGAGATAATGGTCACCAGAGACACATGTCAGTGCCAAGATGGAGCTGAGGAGGTGGGAGCTTACTCCATGCCAGAGCCAGAAAACTAATCTTTCACAGGACCTCCAGGGAAAGTGAGCTATTTTCCTCCCCCTCAGAAGGCTACATAGTTGACTGAGTGCTATTTTATTGTTAAGACTCTTTCAATATTCACTGACTACCTCTAGACAGACAGGCCACTGGAGAAACTATGCTAACTAAGAGCTTGCTCAAGGGAGTTTGCATTCCAAAGTGTTTGGGCAGAACAGCCCCGTGAAGGATTTCTAGCACCTGGGCGTCAGGCACAGCCATGGCCACTGACCTTTTAGCACTTCAGAGTGGGGAATGAGTGTACATTAAAAATATACTTCAATTTTTAAATTGATACGTGATCATCGTGTGCATGGCCTATGGTGTGGTATTTCAATACAAATACATGAGTATTTATGATTTGCGTAGTTATCAATGCATTACCTCATTTGTCTTTCGTTTATGATGAGAACATTTAAAATCATCTCTTCTGGCTATTTTTAAATATGCAATACATTTTTGTTCATTCTTGTCACTCTACTGTACAATAGATCACTAGACTACTCTCTGTAACTTGTACTCATTGTCCATTCTCTCCCTAATCCCTCCTTCTCCTACCTATCCCAACCCCTAGTAGCAACTCTTCTACTTTATGCTTCCATGAGATCAACTATTTTTAGGTTGCACAGGTAGACTTCTCAATTCTCAAATAAAAATTTTAGATGATGAAAGTAAAAGTGTATTCGATGTGGTTATTTATTAATGCAAGAGAGAGACAATGAGAGGAGGGAAAAGAGAAGGAGAAAGAATCAGGGAAAAGCATTGAAGTAGGTCATCACTCCAGAAGAATCAGTTGCTGAGATAATCATTTTAGTAAGAGTTCACAAATGGATTGCTTATTTCTGTTTAATAATGATTTCCTTGTAGTATTGAACGTAAAATTTTAAAAGAACAAAAATCAGTATTAATAAAATAACCTTCAAGAACATATCATAATAATAAACCTTGTGACTAAGCTTCATTAATTTTATTTTAATTCATTTTATTCACATTTACAAAATGTAAACTTAAATTTAAAAGCAGGATATAAAGTCCCATTTGTGTGTCAGTCTAATTATTGCCATGGATAAGGATAGATAGATCAACAGTAGTTATCACTAGCTTGTGGGGTGCTTATCAGGGCCTTATTATACATGCTTTATTAAATAATTGGAAAAATAGCTCATTTTAAATGCTCATTCAAAAATGCAATCACTTAGGGTGTAAGACAGCTATAGGACACACATGCCATTTTGGTGAGTCACAAGTGACTCTTTCCCTGGGCCCTAAAATCTGAATTCTCATGCTCTATTGATCTGGAATAGCAAACTTATTCCAAAAGTACATGCCCATTACAGGAATTGTGCTGGACTTAGCTAGCTATTAGCTTACCACCCAGAAATTTTTCACATTTTACTTTTCTTACTCTCTGTGCCCCAGGGCAGTGGTTCTTCAACTTGGGTGTCCACTGGAATCTCTAAGGCCCTTTGTCCTATACGCAGGCACAGGAGTTCCACTTCCAGAGATTCAGGATTCAGGGAATTAAGAGTCTAGGACAGGAATTCAAACGCCTATGTATTTTATATAAAATATGGAATTTGAGAGAGATGATTATGCCTTTTGAGATTAATTCAGAACAAGGAAAAATAATTAGCATAAAACCCAGCACACTACTTTCAGTCATAGGCTACTGTAGATCAAAGACAAACTTACAGGAAAGGGGTTATTAGAATTAAGCCCGTGTACCAATTCATCCTTTACCAGTACCAAGGGCAAGTTCCAAAACCAAATATCAGAACTCAACCCAGAGGAGTAAGAAAAGAAAATGGTGAACATCCCCACATGGAAACCCTCACTTATGTTTGCATGCACATGTTTGGGAATCAGAGATTCTTCCGCAAGAAAGAGCTACACTGTGACTTACATATTTACTTTCCAATATTTACTGGGCATTGAATGTAGTTGGGGGTAAGAGATCATTCAGGTAATTAAATAACTGATCCTGAATTAAAGTGTACTACTTTTAGAGAATAATGAAAAGTGGCCATGCTTAAATTTTAATTACCATGAGGGTAAAGCCATAGCATGATAGGTCTAAGCAAGTAGATTCAAGCAGACTGAGAAGCAAGGATTTCATGAGTGAGGACTTAGTGAATTTCTAAGGAAAAGGTAACTCTTCAGAGAGCTATGAGAATGGAGGGCATAGATGCAGAATAAATCACAAGTCCATAAAGACAAATCTCTTCACATTCTGCCTTGCTATAGATGCTACTATTTAGCTTTAATCAATTCAATCAGGGTTTAGTTCCATTTCATCCAATGTACATTTCCGGGCAGCCTCTTCTGACTCCAATTCTATGTTAAGTTTGGAAAATAAAAGATGGAAGACTTGGTTCCAGTCTTGGAGAAGTTGATGCTAAAGTGGATGGACCAGAAGTGAGAAGTGAAAAGCTCAGTTCAAGTAACTCTCACAAGAGTCTTACATTCCAAGACTACTTGCAGTAACAGTATATAAGCACATTGGTTAGAAATATGCATAGCTACTCATTTAAATGTAAATACTAGCTACAATTATCACATTGTGTGTAGCTCAATGGAGTTTGCAAAATATTTTCATCCATTTATGTAGTCTAAGCTCCATGAAGAGAGGCATCTTTGTTTTGTTCAATGAATCCTAAGTGTTTAAAATTCTGCCTGGTGTATGGTAAACTCTCAGCAAATATATATTAAACCTACTCCTTATAGCACATATATTTTAGAGAATAAGTACTGCTACTGGTTTTTCTTTGTGTGAAACACTCAGAGGCCCTCAGGATGAATGCTAGGCTGGCAGTAAAAACCTGAACATCTCTGCAGCTCCGCAGTTGTTTGTTCTCCAAGATCCCTGAGAAAAACATCTTGTTCAATCTACCTGGTCAATTATGCTCCCAGCCGCCCAGCATTTTAACTACTCTAGAGTGAAATTTTAGAGCTCCCTGGTGATCAGGTGAATTGTATGTTCCGCCTACTACCCTGACTTTTGGTTTATGAAAGCAAATAATTTTAGAACTGGAAATACTGCAATTGGTCCTTTTGGTCTGCAGGTGGAAGCAGGCTACATTTTCAGTTGATGTTTTGTATTAATTCTGATCCTATCAGTGTCACAAAAAATGTTCCTTCTATATTTATTATACTAATGTGAGTCCTTAGAAAGAGTAAACTAATTTATACCATACCATATGAATAATCAACTTATTGCTTTTTAAGTGCCATCATTGGAAAAAATCTACACAAAAATATCAGTTTTGGGGGCCGGCATTGTCACATGGCATGTTAAGCCTCCACCTATAGCACCAGCCTCCCATATGGGCACTGATTGAGTCTGGCTGCTCCACTTATAATCAAGAACCCTGTGATTGTGCCTGGGAAATCAGTGGATCATGGCCCAAGTGCTTGCTCCCTGGTACTCATGTGGGTGACCAGGAAGAATCTCCTGAATTCTGGCTTTGGCCTGGCCTAGTCATAACCATTGTGACCATTTGGATTATGAACCAGTGGATAGAAAAATCTCTCTCTCTCCCTCTCTCTCTCTCTCTTCCTCTTTCTGTAACTCTGCCTTTCAAACAAACAAAACATAAAATGGAGACTGATTAGATAGTAGGATAGGCAAGAAGAATTATAATCCTTAAAGGAGGCTTCAGAAAACACAATTAGAAAATATTGTAAAACACAGAGAAGCAGAATAGTCCTCAATTAAAATACTTACAAGGCAAGTGGTCTTTTTTTTTTTTTTAATTTATTTTTTTGACAGGCAGAGTGGACAGTGAGAGAGAGAGACAGAGAGAAAGGTCTTCCTTTGCCGTTGGTTCACCCTCCAATGGCCGCCGCGGCCAGCGCGCTGCAGCCGGCGCTCCGCGCTGATCAGATGGCAGCAGCCAGGTACTTCTCCTGGTCTCCCATGGGGTGCAGGGCCCAAGCACTTGGGCCATCCTCCACTGCACTCCCTGGCCACAGCAGAGAGCTGGCCTGGAAGAGGAGCAACCGGGACAGAATCCGGCGCCCCGACTGGGACTAGAACCCGGTTTGCAGGCGTCGCAAGGTGGAGGATTAGCCTACTGAGCCGCGGCGCCGGCTGAAGTGGTCTGTTTTTAATGGAGTTTCTGACACTGGAGTTTCAAATAGGGACATGATCACCCCTAGAGGAGATGTGGCCTATGGGGTTCATGAATCAGTTCATGTTAGGAATAATTGACTTCTGTGATTAGGGAATGCTTGAGAGAGCATTGGTCCTTCAAAATATATGCTTTTAATTTGTCTCTTATCATACATGAAACCTGATTTTTCCTTAAGCCAAACCTGAGACATGATTGCATGAATCATTCACCAAAATTCACACTTCAAGGGTGGGCCTTTGGCTAAGAGGCTTAAGTTGACTGCTGAGATCCCCAAATCTGATGTTGGAGTGCTTGGTTTGAGTCTGCATACTCTGCTTCTGAATCAGCTTCTTGTTAATGCACACCCTGGGAGGCAGCAAGTGATGGCACAAGTACTTGGTCCCTATCACCCATGTGTGAGACCTAGAAGCTATTCCAGCTCCTTCCTTCAGCCCTGGTGCAGCGCCATCCATTGCGGGCATTTGGGAAGTGAACCAGTGAATGGAAGATCTGTTTATATCTGTCTCTGTCTCTCTGGCTTTCAAACAAAACAAAAATACATAAATATCTTTTTTAAAAATTACACCTTAAGATCATCCACAAGCATATGCCATTAGTGATTCTGTAATTTATTTAATCCAGATAAACAAGAGGTTCTTCATGGTACAACACAATTAAGTCATCAAGGGTGATTTGGATGAACCCTGATGAAATAAACTTGATGTCAAAGGTGAGTGTTTTGTATCTTTTAAGTCAGCAGATAAGCTTTGAAGCCATCCTGATATGAAATTTTCTTTTGAACTTCCTACATATATCCTTAGGTTCATTATAAAATTGGAAGTAAAATGAATCCAAAGGAATCAGGCTTAATCTTACAAGTTAAAGTTTTCTCAATTGACTCAAGCAC